CAAATTTTTTTCAACGAAGTAAAATAATCCCTTATGATTCTGTTTTAATTATGAGGCATAGACTGAATAGACTTGAGAAAAGGATGCACCTGCCAACCAGATAAACAATCTCAGAAAAACAACTTGCCAGAAAATTTACATTCTAGTGATGTAGATGCTTATTATAGTACTAAAAATGTCATGTGTTTTTTAAAGTTCTAACATGAAAGTAGAGACTATGTGATTAAAAGAGAAGGATTAAATAAAAGTTTAACTTTTGTAATGAGTTCTGGGTATTTTTTTAAGTAGCCAAATGTTCCATTCTCAAATAATACAATTAGTTTTTAGAAAAATGTAAGTAGTCTTAAAGATTTTCATTTATATGAAATAATCAAAGAATTGTAAGCAAAAATTTAATCTTTTCCTCACCTTCAAGTCTCCAAGGACTTTTATATACTCTACTACCTATGAGCTCTTTCCAGCTCACTCCCTCTATTACTTCAAACCATCTGCTGACTGGGGAGGGATTTCCATTTTTCTGTTTCTCATCCTTTGATACCCTCTTTAACCTGCTTAAAATTCATAGTCTACTCTCTCAACTTGCTTGTCCCTCACTTGCTCACCTCTGTTGGCAGAATCACAGCTGTGGTTAATAGAAACTTTTCATGTACATCATCATAAGATTAAACATGACTGGAAATAAAGCACAGACACATTGACTAATCTCACTGTATTAACACCTTTCCCTTGCTAGGACAAAATACTTGACATTCACAACTTAAAAGAGAAAAGTTTTATTTTGGTTCATAGTTTCAGAAGGTTCAGTCCATGGCTGGCTGACTGCAAAGCAGAAATGGGATGATGAAAGAGATAGAAGAGGAAAGTGCTCACCTCAAGGCAGCCAGGAACCAGAGAATGAATTATAAAGACACCTGGAGAGAAGAGGGTAGGAAGAAGATCACACCCTCCATGCCCACCCAGACAAACCCAGAAGTGTCTCTCAAGCCAGTCAAGTTGATAATCAAGATTAACTATCAGACTAACTTTATGACCATGAGTGAAACAATATGACAGCCATAAGGTACTTTGTAATTCATCATTTGTTTTAGAGAACTATTTCTTCCCAAATTTGAAACATCACTTCCTCTATCCCTAAACATTGATGACTCTGCTTCTTACTCCACTGAGAATCAAAACAATCATCAGAGAACTCCCACAGTCCCCACGATTACACCCACCCAGCATCTGCAAGCAGGCACACAGATAAACTAGTTACCCACGTGCCTATCTAGATAACCATTCCTCTCACTTGTCCACCCCTCTTTCCCTTGTAGCTATTCTCTCTTCTCACTTACATCACAAAACTGTCATTGCACTAGCACATGCATAAGACACATGCTGATATTCCTCCCATCTGAAAAAGGAAAGAACCGCTCTTCACTTCACTGCTCTTTTCAGCTACTGACTTCCAACCCCACTTCTTTGGTCATCTTTGTGGCAAATTTTTGTGAAAGAAAAACCTATACTCTCTGCATCCAAATCTTTTCCTTCTCCCCCCCTTCAACTACTCCTCTGGAATACTTTTATCACAGTCACCAACAGCATCTACACTGCCAAGTCCAAAGGTCATTTCTCATCTTATTCAATCCAGCAGCAGCACTGAAAGCATCATCATGCACTCCTTTTCCTCCTCCACTTTATTCTCTTCACTTGCATGACAGTACCAGACTTGGTTGTCTTTCCTCCATCCTGGCTGGTCCCTCTCATCTCCATGGGCCTCTTCTCTGTAAACTCTTTGTGAGGCAGTGCCCCCAGAGATAGTACTGCCTGCTTCCTTCTCATCTCACATGGCTTTAAAGACCATCTATATGCCAAAGATAGATTAAGTGGTATTTCTAGTTCTATGTCTCTTTCCAACTCCAGATGAATTATATTTCATCTGAGATAAAATAGATCTCTCTAGTTCAGCAGGTTCACAACTGAATTTCATAATTTTCCACCAAAAAGTTGTTTCTCTTACAATGTGCTATCTCAATTGATAAAAATTACATCCTTGTAGCTGCTCAGGGTAAAGGCTTTTGGGGTCATCTTGGAGCCTCTCTTTCTCAATGCCAGACATCCAATCTTTCACCAAATCATATCAAGTCTGTCTTCAACTACTTTGCACCCTATTCACTGCCACCACCTTTGTTGGAGATATCATTTCTCACCTGGGTTGGTGTAGTATCCTCTTCTCCCTGTCCCCTATTGTCCCCTATAGGTCCCTTATTGTCTATTCTCAACATAGCAGGCAGAGTGTAGTTTTTTATACTAAAGTCAAATCGGATAAATGCTTGACTCAAAACTCTACAAGAGATTCCCATTTTTCTCAGAGAAAAAGACACTGGTCCTATTGGTCTAACTCTTTTCCAACTATTCTCCTACCCTTGCTCATTTTTTGGCCATCATTGCTTCCTTGTTGTTCCTTAAAATAAGCAGCCGCCATCTTATCTTGACGCTTTTGCACAAAGCTCTTCCTACTGTGATGCTCTGCTCCTAAAAAGGAGCTTCTCAAAGTACAGTGACTAAGCCAGAAGCATCACCATCACCTGACAGCTTAGCAGAATTGTGAATTCTCAAGCGGCACTCAGACCTGATTTGTCAGGGCTGCAAAGATGGCATGCAGCAGTTTGTGAGGTTGGTTTGGTTTTTTTGGTGCTGAAGATCGAACCCAGGGCCTTGCACATGCCAGGCAAGTGCTCTACCACTAAGCCACATCCAAGCTCAAGTAAAACACGTTTTAAGAAGCCCTACAGGTGTTGCTATTGTTCACTAGAGCTGAGAAGCTCTGCTCTAGATATTTACATGATAACTTCCTCAGTTCCTTGGAGTCTTTCCTCAGATGTCACCTTCTAGGTGAGGCCTGTAACAACCACCTGGTTCATGTTGCAACCCTCACTCTCCTCAGCATTCCACCCATTCCTGTATCCTGCTTTCCTTTTTCTAGGTTTCATCACCCACAGAGTCTTCAAATGTACTATAAACATTATTTTCTATCATGTTATTGTCTCACTTCACTAGACTATAAATTCTGTGAAAGTAGTCATACTTTTATGTTTCACCAAAAATACAGAGATGTCTCAAATAGATTCAGATGCAGCATAGATACCTAGTGACTACAGAATGGAGGCAATGGTAAGTTGAGCTTAACTGGTATGGCCAATGGGGACAATCACACAAGTCAAGCAAGCCCAAGCAGCAGGCAGAGAGGCCTCTGATAGTTGGGGCATATGAGCCCAAGTATATACTTAACACATGTCACTTCCTCTCATTGAAGGGGTGTTTCAGTGAAATCCATATGTATACTAACACCCCCGAGCTGGAAACATTTTATGGGATGCAGGAATTTGCTTTCAACTGTGGATGCAGAGGAGTGCTAATTTGCCAATGCCCTAGGTTATTGCACTGGTGGAAGACGGAAGTGCTGCCATGATGGTCCCACCTCTGCCTGGCAAATAGCTAGAGTCCCTGGTCAGAACTCAAGGCTGGAGGAGCTGTCCTGTGCTTCCTACATCCTTCTTGGGTTTGCTGCAGATGAGATGCTTGAAGTGGCCTTTGCCTTTCTACATGAGTTTGAGAAGTGTCCCAAAGAAAAGCAAGTAACTCAGGAAGGGAAAAAGATACTGGAGAAAACAAATACCAGTGCTAAGTGCTAGTGTGTAACATTCACCATACAAGGCCCAAAGCCAATGACAGCATCCTGTTACTATCAAAATATGGCAGCACTACAAAGATATGTGCAACAGAACACAGAAAGCTCTGAATTGACATTTCTGCTACAGATTAATAAATCTGTATTCTTCAGAATACTGAAGCTATACAATGTGAATAATCCCTTATTTCTAGGAACAATGCCAAGAAACATAAGCCAGCTAATAATAAAAAAAAAAATAAAACCAGATCAATTTGCTGCCGCTTTTGCACTTCAACACAATGTGTTTCTTTGTGAACATCTAATATTGGCTTTTTTTTTGCCTTTAAAATGGTCTAGTAGTTGTCTCTAAAATAAGCTAATGTAAGTAGAACCACATGAATGAAGGATTGAAAGAAAAGAACCTCTTGAATCTCTAGCATGTAAAATGATGGCTACATTAATATCATTCTATACTTCTGGCTCTGAACAATCTAATAACTTTATTATAGTAGAATAAATAGACAAATAGCACAGAGATTGTTGCTCTAGCAGTGCATAGTGTCTCGGAATTTGATGCTTATTTGTGTTTGCTTAGAGTAAGAATCTAAGGGAAAATTAAGTTCTAAGCTGAGGCTGCAATTTGAAATCCCAGAGATCGTCTAAGAATAGTTTGATTTTTTTATAACAGTGGATTTTCTGGTGAAGTAGACTCTTTCCTAATGAACAGGATCTGGCACTGCTTCAGATGCTAAAATTTGACCAATGTTAGGAGCGTGATGATCAGCTTGGGTATGAGTCTTTTAGTAAAAGAAACATGAAATTGCCTTGCTTTGGCAGCACATACACCAAACCATCATGAGAGCTGTCACTCTGGCTCACAGATGATCCCTACCATGCCACAACTGTGCAAGTTCCCACTGACATCACTGACAAAGCTGGCAAGGAGACAAAGACATAATCCAAATGCAGTTACACTGGATTCTGCCTCACTGGAGTCATCTGAAAAACAAACCAACTTGCCTGTCCTCCCAGCCCCTACCCCCCATACCATGGACTAGATATGAGGCTCAGCAAAGCGATTCAACATGCACATTTCTAAGCAAGTAGATAATAGCGGCAGAAGAACTGCAACTATCGAAAGGAAAAGGCAAACCTTTCAAAGTAATGCCACAGTTAAATGTGCTAAGTATGGAAGAGAAACGCTGCTAAAAGTGGACTTTGAATCATCCAGGTAGAGTTTGTGAAATATTTTAACTGGAACAGGTCATAGTTCGGACCAATGTAATAGATGTTTACTCTATTGACAATATTGACGTTTACATATTCATTAATAAATAGCAGACATTACCCTCATAAATGCTTGATGTGTCCTACAGTTGGCCCTTCTGCTTGATACTTGTATGCTTCCTGTGATGACATCAGAAGTTCCATTAGAGGAAAAGTAAAACCTTGATGGAGACTCTGCCTTTCTGTTCACATCCAGACTCATGTTATAAAACAAAACTGCAAAATACACAGAGAATTGCAATCAATAGAAGTAACCCTCTAAATGTATTAAGTTGGTAATAGTAATGTAAAACACTGAAAGTACCTTCTGTTTGTTAGATAGTTTTTGAAAAATTAACTTTAAATATGAGAGAAACTAAAAATATAAATTTGAAAATTATAAGATTTATGAAATCTCTAGTTTCTATTATTAACATCATTAATTACTTACTTAATCCTCCTACAAAAAGTTTCAAAAACTACAATATGAAAATTTGTTCTAACAATAAAAGTTTTGAATAAAGTTTCAGATTACTTTGGAGTCCTTTCTGTCCATATCGAGTAAGGAAGTATATAGGTAGAGTTTTGCATTCAAATGTCACTTGGAATAAACCTATTTTGTGTAGTTACATGACTAATTTCATATATTGTTAGGTTCATTTACATACTTCTGTTTCTATTTGAAGGGTTGCTATGTCTCTTTTAATATTTTCATATACAAAATGAACACACGGTTCACATCTACTTTACTTAAAATTTTCTTTTCAGTCCTATTCATTATTTCTCCACTCTCTGTATTTTGGTTGGTTTGTAGTTTAACCTCTCAATTTGTGTAAAAATTTTAAAATTTTGCATCAGTTTTGGTTTAATTCCAAATCTGATTCAGTAAATATTCACCTGCTTAACAAGATCTTTAAGCAAAACCAAAAAGAAATAAAAAGTTAAAACAATGAAAAAGTTCCAAATGCCAAGAGCGAGCCATTTCCTGAAACAAATGGGTTCTTTGCAAAGCAAGCTAAATCTAATAGTCTGCTGACTGATGCTGACTACATAGGAGCAACGATTCATAAGTCATATTTTAAAAATCTTATATAATTTCTGGTATGTTTATGTTTTAGAAGTAACATTCTTCTGGAAAGATTTTGCCTATTTTAAGGAAAAGCACTAAACCTATATTACTCTTACTCATTTCAAATATATCTTTCAGCCATCCTTTCATTCAGGAAATAGTAAAGTCCAAATCAATTGGCTTCAAAATTACAATAACTGAGATTCAGTACCTCAGAGAGAGAGGGGGGAGGGAGGGAGGGAGGGAGGGAGGGAGGGCATACGCACGAGGGAGCACACACCTGTGCTGCAATTGCAATAGTCATCTACAAATTCATCATTCTAACTCAGTTTAGACAAAGAGTAAATGAAAAAGGGGTGAATAAAAACCTACTCCCAGTAAGCAGCAAAATTCCCTGGCTTTAGTAAACATGCTTACCCTGAGAATTATTTTTCCCAAGGAGTCACTTTATAACAATTGCAAAGCATAGTTCTGTAACAATGCTGTTATTTATCAGTTTCATATATTTATTTTCAACCACTATAAAATATCTCGTACAGTGCAATTGGTAGTTATGAGGGAACACCGATTTCATATAAGGAAAACAGCCCTCGCCTTTCTTTTTTTTTTTTGGTACCGGGGATCGAACTTGGGTCCTTGCGCTTGCGCAGCAGGCAGCGAAACCACTGAGCTAAATCCCCGGCCCAACCCTCTCCTTTTAATGTGCACCTTTCAGATAATCCATCAGTTTGTCAGTGTTAAAGTGGAATCACTCTGGGGTCGTGGTTCTTAGGCCCCTATTCTCCAGTCAGTAACAAGAGCAAGGCTTTGCCCACCTTTTATTTCTGCAGTTCTGATACGACTGTTCCATATCACTATTAAAAATTAGTCCTATGAAGTAGAGATACCAGGCTTATTCTGTACATCTCATTATGAGCTCATGCAGACAGAGAAATCTATTACATATCCATCGTTTGGCTCAATAAATATTTGCCAACCTTCATGATGTTAAATGACATCAACTTGCAGGGTCATGAATACAACCAACATAGGTTTTGTGGGGTTCATGAATTTTTTGAATTATTAATATCATAATAATGAAGCCAGGTATACTTGTCTTCAACCATAGGCTAGTTTCATTAGTACTTATTCTAATACCACCTTAAATATAACAAAATTGGGAACATTAATCTGCTGGCAATAAAATGTTATACTTAAAAGTCACATATCTATAATTTGGTATTAACTAGAATTTTTGGACAGGCCATATCCATGCTGCTCTCTCCAGAGCAGACAATTAAGAGCTGCCAGCCTCTATGCAGAGAAACGGGCATGGTTCTCTTGAGTTCCTGGTGGCAGTAAATCCATACACATAGGAAACATCTTAAGTGATTATATATAATTTTATAACTACATATAAAATGATACACATGAATATGAATATATATCTCAAAAATTGAAATCAGGATCTAGATTCCAGACAAGCTTCTCCAATTATTCAGATGGAATAATAGGATGGAATATAATATTTGAAAAGGAATCTTCTCCCTCTCATGTCTTCCATCTTACACCAGCTTCAGGCTGTAAAGAGCTCAGTATGGCTGGAGATGTGCATCAGTGAGGCCCTGAATTCGATCTTCAGCACTGCAAAAGCATGAACACTAACATTTTTTAAAACAAAGAGTTTGGTAAAGCAGATGAGCTGGGTCATTACTCCTTCTACAAAATTCACAGATTGAACTCAATGGGTTTACTTTAACACAGCAAGTGATAGCCTCATTTTGCTTCATGCCATAAACTCTAAGTAACTACAGCCTCCTTATTTGCCCCATGCATTGGTTAGAACAACCCGAGAACCCAGCATCAGGGGAAGAAAGGTGCTTGTCAAGTGCTGCTCTCTTCTGCTCTAAGGATCCGCCCATGTGGCAAACAGTAAGAGCCCTAAAGATGAGCTCGAGATGACTGGGTGAATCACACCCTCCATCAGGCATTAATTCCGCAGCGCACACTTACCAATGTAACCCGGAACCTCTTTGCCTTTGTATGAGAAACAAAGCTTTAGATCCATGCACACAGAGGGCGCTCCATTCTCAACACAATCAAATTTCGTTCTGTTTACAGACTCAGGGTGGCTTAAAGATGCTTCAACAATTACTACTGGTCTTGTCCTAAGAAGGAAATAAAATTAGCCATAATTGCAGAATTATTTCTGCTTAATTGCATCTGTTTTATCGGTTTCCATTGACCAAGTCATTTCATTAATCTGTTTTATTAGTGGGACATGCATACATACTCAGTTACATTTCTATACACAGATTAAGAGAAATTTTCATCTAAATGTCTAAAAAAATTGACTTTAGTTGATGATTTGTTTAATTATATCTATGCATGACGCTAAAAATACCCTAAGTTCAATAATTAAGCTTCGGGATACCAAAAAAGAGTATCATGAAGATACTACCTTTTAGAAAACTGCTGGTGCTTTTAGAAATGGCCTCCCATCATTTACAATTAAGTGTGTTTGTCATTAATCAGTGAAATGTATCAACCTTACCTTAGCAACACAGCAGACTCAGAGCGAAAAGCACCGACGGCTACATCTGGAAGGTAAAAAACAACCACCCGGATTAATGATCACCATTAGTCAAAGAGAACGACTTTCCAGACATAAATGCTTAAAACTGCGTATCACCTTTGACTATATCAAAATGGTATTTACTGAAAATTAATTAGAAAAGACACGCCAGCTTAAGATTCACTCCACATTTGTCTGAATCTATGCATTGACAAGCACACACATTCCTTCATTATATTACATAAATAAACTTCATTATATAAACTTATGATCTAAAGACAGGTCTGCTAAAACAAAATTTGGTTTTATGAACTGGAACTATTAACCCAGGAATTTCTTTGAAACTTAAAAATTTTCTTTTCTTCTTTCTTTTCATCATCATATATCTTACTGATTTTCATTTTTTTTCAAGAGCAAGAAATATAACATTAACAGTGTCAAGCTAAGGAGTTCCTTGATTGTTTCTGGCCTATCATTAAATTCAAGAAAGCTTTTTAAATACAGGAAAAAATTCATCAGTAAATTGAAGTCTTCCATACCAGTTTTATGTGTTCACAATAGAGTTTATTCCAATTTATGAAATGTGGGAAATTTTATACTCACCTATATATCCATTATTATCTGCATCAATTTGTCCTGATATAGACTGTCCAAACATACTCAATGATTCACTGATTTGAAGTCCTCCTATTCTCTGCAAAATAGGTAAGTTGAGTGGGAAGCAGTTTTTGAATATCTAATAGTCCAGAGAAGCAATGATTTTGCTATATAATGACCCTTCCCCCATGTGCCCTGGCATATTTACTGACAAAATGCACTTCCAGCTTGAAATGGGCAGTTATTTGTTTTGTGACTTAAAATTTTTTTCTTTTTAAACAAAGAGAAAATTATGTAGTACAGATTTTCCAAAAATAGTTCTTATTCCCTTTCGGAATCTGTATTTAGTTCCTTAACCAACATAAATAACTAAATTATTTCGAAAGTAAGATTCCTATAATCGTTCAGTGGAGCCAGTACTCAAATTCATGACAGCCTATCTATTGAGCCTAACTGCTCCCCAGCGTTTAAGAACAGCCCTGGTATTTTGCTACTAATCTGTGATCAGCCATTTTAACATTCACTCATCTTTAGGGATATTAAAAAAAAGTACATTTATATGCTTATATAATAGCAAAATAAATCAGCTATAAAAAAAGAAACAATTGGTACTTTAATTATTTGTGTGTTTTTGCAGATAGGTACCATTTTCCATGTTGAATGGATTATAACCTTGTTATCTATGCATGGGCCTAAGAAAGGTGGCACATGAACTGTGCATGTAATTTTATGGGTAAATTAAATGGGTTTGTGTGTGTGCAATTCATTAAAAGAAGATATTCTATGAACATGATTCTATATATTGAAGTCAGAAACCTTACCAAACATGAAAAATATCAGAAGCTGCTGTTGCCATAATGACTATTTTTTACTGTAGGCTGCTTTGGAAATAATTCCCATATCCTTGGCTTTGTAAGTTGATAATATCACTATGCATTTCTACACATTTTATAAATTTCCTTTATGCAGATTTTGATACACTATGTTTCTGCAGAAATTGGATAAATATTCAAAATTTTATTAGGGTAAATTTGAGAAGCTTATGTGTATCTTAATTCTGGGTTGCTTGTTTTTTAGGTGAGAAAAAATAAAATACTGTATTAAAAAAAAAAAAAGAACAGCCCTGCTCAGTGCTCTGCCTTCTGTTCCACACCTAATTTCACACCCACATACTGACTTATACTGTCCACTTATGCTATCCATACTAAGAAAAAAATCTGTATTTTTTTAACCAAACAAGTACGTAACTTCCATGTTAAAAATACAGAGCAACTTTCCCAATTTTGCCTAATCAAAAATAACAGTACTAATGTTTTCATAAAAAATATGTTTGGAAAAACTCTCTGCATGTGAATGCAGCCTTTTCTATGCATTGAAATGCGCTGATTTGTCGAGCTATAAAAGTGAAGTCAGAGTTTGATTAGGAACTTTTATTAAAATGCTATCATCTTATTTCTCCACATTGAAAGAAACACAGTGTCATGCACATGTTTGATCTCCCAGTGCAATCTTTATAAAATATAAGGCCACAGCCATAAGGCAAGACAGTTAATCAGACCCACAAGGACCTACTTGGAAGAGTGTGGACATTGCCTCAAGGGCACAAATTTGATGAAATATAGAGAAAAATCTTTAACAAGCTAACATCAAGATAAAGTGGAAGTGAAACTCTTATGAAAAAAGTTTTAAAATTATCAATCCCTACAATAAGACCATTTACCAGTATTATAAAAACATGATGGAACAAAATGTTACATGTTTGAAGAGTAATAAAAAATAAGAAAAATAAGTCCACACAAGCACTGGAAATAGTAAGGGTGGTTCATCACCAGGGCTTCTTTTCAACAGTGAATACTGTAGCAATTTACCTGGGAGAAGGCTGATGAGATGCCATCTACTCGGCCATTGTAAATGTAAATGGCGCCTCGCAATTCATCTTCTTGTGGAGCTCCAATAGCGACATCTATGTGAGGATTCAAAGGGTGAAAGAATAACAAATTCTTGAAATCTAACCTTCATGATCCTTCATTCAATATAAGAAAACTCCTTTACAAAGACAGAAACTCTTCTCAGAAAGAAAACAATACTATCATCATCAAGGTACAAGATTGCAGAATAGTCTCTGGGCAGGATCACCAGCCAGACCACCAGAGTCTACCCCAGCTCTGCACCATGCCCAGCTGTGTAGGACAGGCTCATCCCTTAGCCTTACCTATACAACAGGATCATAATAAAGTCCTTGCTCAGCATAAAAGAACATAACTCACATAAAGGGTTTAGATAGTGTCATGCTTATAATAAGATATTATTATCTATGGATATTATTCCTACACGAATCTTGAATTTGAGCTTGTAGTCTTTATTTGAAAAATGATGTTTAAATTAATTCACACTCCAATGAAAATGATTGAGGTATACCTCAGGGATATCTGCATACACACACACAGGCTCTTAGAAAATGGGTCTGTGCTATAAAAGAAAGATGCAGCACTCTTATGAGTTTATTGAAATTCGCATCAGATTGTGACATCAAGAGAAAAAAATGTAAAATGTAGATCAATTCATATAAGAAAACCCAAGAGTAGGCAGAAATGACTGTCATGGTTGCTTAAGTGTTATAAATACATAGAACTAAGGAGAAAAAAATCCTACACTGCCAAAAGCATTATTTTACCATGAATGATGTCTACCTGAGTATATTCATTTCTATGCAGTGTTTTTAATTACTCTGAATACAGATAGTTTGTTTTCATGACATTATATAGCATCTATCACATCTGAAACTCTTTAAACACCTGTAATGACAATTTTTAACTGCCATGTCAGCAAAAATAACGTCTTTCATGTGTAACTGTTAATGTCATAAAATTTTAAAATGCAAAAATGTTTCTATTTTTATCTAAAAAGAAACAGCAGCTGAGACTTATTTAGATATACTATGGCTAGCCTCTTTTGACATGTGTGAACCATTGTAAAATGTTATATGCAAATCTCACGTACAATTTTTATATACAAATTATTTATATATAAGTATATATATGAGGTTTCTCATAGAAGCAGACACCTGAGATGAGAGTAAGGCATTGATAGGGCATGGCCAAGTTAAGAAAGGAAAACTGCAGTTTACTCGAAAGAAAAGACCGTGTTAAAGGCAGAGGAGTCAAAGAGAACGTGTGAAGTATGGCAACTGGTATGGATGAGCTGGAGCCAGATTAGTGCAGACTAAATATACACAGGAGCACAGCAGGAGGATTGGAAGAAGAGAAAGAGAGGAGGAGGGAAAGAGGTGAGAGTGGTGATGAGGCATATTACAAGCACTGAAGAGAAAACCATTTAGCAATTTATTAGTGCCGGGTTTATACTTCTGCCATGTGGTCTACTCCCTAATAACTAGAGCTCTATACTTTGATTCCTGATGACAATACATGTAAATATAACAACCTTGGGTGACCCAGAAGTTCTTACAGTATTGTTTATTAGCACCAGGGATCTACATTAGAGCAATTATCTTGAAATAATACAGATGGGCCAGCCTGGTAAAGAGACCCTTACCCTCAGCACTCTGGGAGGCTGAGCCAGAGAGGATAGAAAATTTAAGCCCAGACTAGGCAAGTTAGCCATTTGTGAGACCCAGTTTCAGAATAAATAAATAAACAAACAAACAAATAAATAAATAAATAAAGTGCTGTCAATGTAACTCAGTGCAAGGAACAATAGATCAATCCCCAGTACGGCAAATGGATGGAGAGATAGAAGGAAGGAGGGAGGGAAGGAGGGAGGGAGACAGGGAGATAAAAAATAAGATGAGCCTTTTCAGCTGAAAATTTTTTTTTAAAGACCCAATTTTCTTTCCAAGCAGAAGACATTTAAGTATATTCAATCTTTGGCCAATACAGATCCAAATTCTTTACTTCCTAGAATTACAAGCATATAATGTACTAGCTGTCATTATAGAAATGAGGACAGTGCATTTGGTGTACATTGGTATTTTTCCATTCCCCTCCAAATCAATGCATCCTGGGCTAGGAGCTTTCCACATATTTACTGGTGTAACTTCCACAACAATTGCTTCAAATACAGCCAGATCTTGGAACTCAGCTGCTCTGAAATCCAGTGACTTGGTACCCCACACATTTTGATGAGAAAATTTTGTCCCAGCACTCGCCATTTGGTACTGAAAGTTCACAAGCTAGAAGTTGTCAGTGTTGATTGCCTGATGACTTGTTACCTTTTCCACCCAAAATAATGCGGTTGATATTCCTCATTGTGGATACTTGCCATGCTCCTGGAATCAATTAACAATGAGTACCAAGGTACCACTAAAAAGATTTTTAATCCCCACTTTGCAGACTAGGAAACTGAGGCAGTGAGTGTAACTGGCTTGAAGTCAGGCCTAGGATGTGGAGCAGTAGGGATTTAAACCCTGCAGTCAGGCTCTAGAGCCTGTGCATTCCATCCCCACAATATAAAGTCATCTAGAACATGCATCAGCCCCAATGTTACCCATCTTAGCACCTGACACTGGTGTGTGTCAAAGCAGCACTCATTGTGTGATGTGATAATATGTCAATATTCACCTCAGGAGTGCAAAAAATATGGTACTTTACAGCTACAGAAGTGTAATACAGTATGGTTCTTCTTTAAAAGAATACACATGTAGTCTAGAAGTCAGATAGAGTCTTAAAGTGAAAAAATGTAAAGCTAAATGAATATACAAGGGGTAGTAACACAGTGAACAGTTAAACTTAAAATTTATGACAGTAAAAGACACACTGACATTCATCTCCCTCACTATACTCTCTGTTTTGAATGCACTGAGCCCATCATTCTTGCCACCTTCTGAAGCAGTTCTGCAAGTCCTCCTTCATGTTTTTTACCAGCTGTGATAAAAAATACGATGAATGCTGCTGCCAAGTGCCATCCAACAGAAAGGCAAGGTTGTAAAAATATTATGTTGTGTCTTACCCACTTCATGCACTGGTGTGGCATAGTGTGACTTCTGGCTCTTCCCCAAAGTCAAAATGATTGAGGCAGCCATGAGAGCACAACTAAAGGTACACATGGAAGAGAACTTTACAACTGCTTCAGAAAGTGGCAAGAATGATGGGAGAAGTGAGGATGAGTATTTTGAGGGAGATTAGTGGCAATATATCTTTTACTGTAATATATTTTTAAAATTTAAACATTTGCTGTATTTTGCAATCATACTTCATAATTTATCACAAAAAATCCATTTTGATCATGGAATTGATGCTATGTATCTGTTGATCTCATCAGTTATGTTGATGCGTGTATCTACCTAGTTATTTCACAACTTCCTCATACTTTGATGAGATTTTTTACACTGGAGACTTGCTGCATTGATTGGACATCTTGTTAGAAATTGACTTGTTTGCTTTTCTAGGAAATAGAGTCTTTCTTTTGAACAATAAAGATTCATATGACGAATGCCAAGTGAACTTAGGATTGTTATGCAACACACCACAAAGTTTCATAATAAAGGAGCATTAAGTATGATTTGAATTTGATATTGGAGAAGGAAGGAAAAAAGTACCGGTGGAGTTTTCACTCCCAGTCTACATGGTCCTAGGATCCCTCCCATGAACACAATGCATCTTCATCCATCTACCCACCCCATAAAATTGGGATGAGACAGAACATGGAGAATACAACAGGGAGACACATTAAAAAAATAACATGAAGATGCCCTGCTGTCTCACTCAGGTGGACATGGTAGAAGGGAATTAAGACATTAGTGAAGAACTATAATACCGACTCTACCTCCAAGACACCATGACCTTGCTAATATGTGAAATGTAGAAAATGTCTACTCATGGGCAACCAGAAATTAAAAGGAACAGTGGATGAAGTAGAAAAAAATTCATGGTATTATAAACATTCACCAAAGTGTGAATGAGGCCACTCAATGAAAATATGTTGTGAATTATAAATGGGATTCTAAATGAAACTATAAATAGCACAAAATACAGAGAAGCATTAAACATTAGTTGAATAATAACCTTTAAAACACAAAGTATGACCTTTAGGAGTGGAATGCTGAAGCTCTCAGAACAGGAAGTGCAGTCTGAAACCCCCATTCTCACACAGAAGCTGAAAGACTCCACTCTACCCTGAACTCACTTCTGAAGTCCTACTAGGTCTCAGGAGTGGAACACTTTCTTTCCTTCACACCTTTGCAGATTCCTGGGGACACTGCCAGGTCCTGGAATGATTTTAGATTGGGAGCTTGCCTACAGTCCATGACAGTTTCACAACTCATTAAAAGAATATAGGTATGAGCCAGGCATGGAGGTGCATACCTGTAATCCCAATACTCTGGGAGCTTAGGGCAGGAGGATCACAAGCTCTAACCCAGCCTGGATGACTTAGCAATTTAGCCAGATCCTTCATTTGCATTCTTTATGGCAAATACTCTGTCCCTCATAAGTTACATCTGACAAAAAAATGAATGCTCAATAAATATCTCAGAATTGCTGGTTACTTATAACAATCATAATGAAATTTCATACATGTTTAATTGTAATATGTATGATCATAATAACAAAAAATCTACATATTTTCTTTTTCATTGTTTTGAAATCATAAACAAGAAATGGTAATAACTGAATACCAAATTACACTATTTTTCATTTAGAAGGTTCATTGGAAGCAAGTATTCAATAATTATCTTTTTGGTAGAACAACACATCGTATACATTTAAAGTTGATTGAAACATTTAAGGATAAGAAGACTTAAAGGAGGTGAGAATTTATAGCACTCCCTTTTTTTAGCATCCAAGCAACTTTTATCCTCATATAACCTTATATTAATTTCCAATGACTGTATCGAGAACAATTCTGAGCCCTGAGAGTAAGTAAGAATACTTATTTGCTGAACTTTAGGGTATTACTCAACATTAGGAAATTTCACATTCCTCTTCAAACCCATTCATTATTGCATACACAGTTTGAACAGACTTGGTTACTACTCAGTACTAGATTTTCAAAGGTAATGCTACTTATGAGTGTTAAGCAGGAATGCCGGTAGAGACAGCCATTTCCACAAGAGGGCTGAAGCCCAGGACAAAATGCATAGCGGAGACTGTATCATCTATTCAATTTCTGAAAGTTTTAATACCAACTAGAAAAGAGCCATTGTCCCCGCGTTTCCCAGTTTGCTCCTTGTCAGCCCTCAGGACTTTCCCCCAGAATCCTTTAAATCTACATGGCAGAGCTGAACAGGAATTGCCCAGCACAACACGGGGCTTCCAGCATCCCTCTGCTGGGTAGCCAGGCTCTGCGGGTTTGATCAGTGCCTTTACTGTACTGATATTTAAATTTGATGGTCCAATAACTCTACGATACACATTTCTCTCCCAACCCCAATATTTTACCATTTCTGAAATCAGGATCCTTCTTGAAACAGAAAAAAATAAATGCTGGGTGTTCTGACAGTGTAATAGCATTTGTGAGGGTAGCTAATAATGCTACTTAATTAGTGGTGCTTTTGAGTCAATGATACAAGGTCTATTGAATATCATCTCTCATGCTCACAGTGAGCAAGTCAGACAAATACTAAAAAGAGAAAAAACATACATATACCATCCTGGTTTCATTTTCAACAGAATGTCAAACAACACAAAACTTCAATCATATTCTCTTCCATGAAACATTTTAAAAGCAGAAATCAAGTACCAAATTAGACACTTTTAATTACCTTCAAAGCCATCATTGTCAATGTCACCAAGATTAACTATAGATTCCCCAAATCTTGCAGCATATTTATCACTTCCAATGAGTGCTGTTTCCATTTCATTCATTACTGCTCCCTAGGTAGACAGGGAGAAAAAAGGTGTCATTATTACACTGCCTGACAACTTTACACATGATTTACTGCTGTAATTGGATATGGATTTTTTTCTAATGCACCAAACAAGTTGAACAAACTACAGACTGAGCTTTTGTACACACATCTCAGTTCAACTTGATAAATATTTATTGAGTATGTCAACACATATAATAGTATGATTAGAGAGCATAGGACATAAAAAAATGTCAAAGCCATGCTTCCTGGCTTTGAAAATCCAATAAATCATTTTGGTAATTCAATTTAATAAATCTTTATTGAGCTCTTACTAAAGACAATGCACTATGTAAGGTGAACAGGTGAAAGGGGACAGGCAGTATGTGTATAAAACATGCTCCCTCCTGCAAGAAACCCACAGTCACAGGGGAGGGCTTAGTACAGCTGTGTTAGGGACTCAGAAGTAACACTACTTTGCAATGACAAGAAGTATGTAATGGAGACAAAGAAAGACCATCACTAACAAGAAAACATGAAAGAATACCTACAAGAGATTTCACACAGAAGATCACGTACAAGGTGGCTATTGAAAGAAAGGAATAATACTGATATTCAGAAAAAAATCTCTCCACAAAACACAAATTTCAAAGGAACAGTATATATAATGAGCGAGACAAAAAGATTGAACAATTTAATGGGCTGTAATTTGATCGGGGAGGAAAATTCGTTTGTGTTTTGAGACAGAGTTTCACTATGTAGTACAGGTCAGCCTTGAACTTGCTCTGAAACCCACACTAGCTTCAAACTCATGATCCTCTTGCTCGACCCCGAGTGCCAGGGTTACAGGCATGTGCCATCACTGGGAAATTTAATGTGGATGATAAGAAGGTACTGAAAGTTTCCTAGTTGAGGAGTGATGTGACAAGGTGGCCTTTCAAACCTTATCCCAGCAGCAATGGAACTGGACTGGTCAGCCAGTTTCTCAGCAATTGGGAAGACAAGCCACTATGCTTACTAATGTAATAACAAGCTGTTGCAGTAACAGCCACCAGTCCTCCTTACAAACTCTGATCATCTCGGTTCCCACTTCCCACAAAAATCCACACCCTGTTCATCATAAATCCTTTCTCTGAAAACCATGTGTCATTCCCTAAACACACATGTTCCTCCCCTTGTGAAGTGCCCATCACCTTTTCTAACTGAAGAATTCCTATTTTTGTCTTGCTCAAACACTACTTCCTCAGGAAAATCTTTGTGACCCAAAGCAAATCATTCCTTCCCTTTTTACGGACTCATCATGCATCACTGGCCACGTTGTACCCACTGTTTACTCCCAGGTTTGGTGTTTCCATCAGATCTTGAGGAGCTGGAGGTGAAGGCAAACCTATTCTCAGCTCCTTCCATAGTCTTTGTCACATTCCACATACTCACTGTCATGTACTTTATTCTATGCAAATGAAGATGATGGAATCACCGCAAAAGATACAGTCACTGACATCAAAGCAGCAGGGGACTGAATCAAAGGAGTAGGGGAAAGAACAGCTCCTGGGGAAATGCCAACATCGGCTGGAGAAGTGCCTCGGGGAGGGCAGACAAGTTCAGACACAGTGCAGTTCGGGAAGGAGAGTTTGAAGAGAAGTGGTGAGCACTCTTCAAGTATCCTCTAGTTCCAGAGAGCAGTGATCAAGCATTCTCTGGGGAGCCCTGCGAGCTATTTTGGTACAATTAGGTAGAAGCCAGAGTCACTCAAGTGTCTTTCTCAAGTTCATTCAAAAATAATTTTGGAGCACCTACTTGTCCAAGACTCTTCCTAGCCCTAAGGAAACAGCAATCAACGAGACAGGTGACTCCTCTACAGGTGGAGTCTACATTCCAGTAGGACAGACAATAGCAAACCAGATGAATATTATCTTGCCACTTAGAGGTTAGTGCCTTTTCAGAGAGTTAACAAACAGAAGGTGAGATGGGCCCCAAGAAGACTAATCCACACAGACGACTTAAAAGCTGAAACCAATGACTGAATTCACTGCAGTGATCAACAGTGGTACCTCTGGGTAAGTGTGAGGGAAGAATACAGTGGTACATTAGTGGGCAGGGCTCCTCCCATGCTCTTTAACCAAAGGAGCTCTGCCTTTAGCTTTTATACCGGGAAGGTGTAAGATCTCAATGGAAAAGAACTTCCTATGCTGCTTTATTTTACATGTGTATTCTGCTGTTTAAACCATTCTCAAAAAAAGTTTAGTTACAAACATAAGGAGAAATTTGCAGCATGAGGATGTAGCATGTATACAAAAATTATCAACAGGGAAATGTGAAATGTCTATGGAAGAAAAATTATCAGGTACCACTATGAATCAGATCTTAAAGATGACTATGAAGATAATATGCCTTTACTCTTAAAATTAGGTTTAAATGCAGCCTAGGAAATGCCAATGCATAAGTGAATTCCCTACTCCGTATTTAGAATTTTGAGAACTCCCAGCTTTCTAATACTAGAGTGTTTTCTCTCTCTCTCGTTCTCTCTCTCTCTCTCTCTCTCTCTCTTAAATTGTACAGTTTAGTCTGATGCTTAAGACTAGGAACTTAAATTCCCGAAACTATTGATTAAATAAGATTACAAGTACCTTCCTGAAACAGATTTTACTTTGTTGAATCCTGAGAGACATTGTGCCATAAGAAATGAACCAATTTTCTCACAAGCCTGCTCTTGTTTCCAAATTAAGGAAACAGGGTGAGCACATCCCATTAAGGCCCTATCATTTCTTTGTTTTGATTGGATGTGAAGATGGGAAGGTTTCAAGATAAGGGCCAGCAGAATTCTTTAAACTGAATCAAGACCTCAGTTTCTACTTTAAAACATGGCTCATGATTTAAAACTGAACCATTGTCAGTAATTACCTATTTGAACAGGATATTCACTTTGAAATAGACTGTCAAATTCATATTCTTTTTAAAAATGTAACATGCATAAATCATCTGTGAACATTTTATCTAGACATTTAATTGTTTTCAAATCAAGAATTTAAAGATATTAAATCAAGAATTTAAAGATATTTAATTCTTGATCTTCTAGTGATCTTTTATAACTTATTAAATGATGTAAGGACTTTCCTAACTTTATACTGTTTTTAAAAATCTTCATTTCGAAGGATAAACATCATTCTTTCAAATTAGAATTGTGTCAAAATAAAACTAGAGGAAATTTTAACTACTTGAGTGACTGACTACATACAAGCTGTGGATACAGAACACAGGTATTTCTGGAATATCCACATGAAATAGCTACCCATTCATCACAATGCTCCATTTTCTTTTTAGAGCACATCAATACAATATTAAAAATTTTACTTTTGTTGGTAAAATAAGCCTAGGCACCTGTAGTTTCAGAACTCTGGAATGAGAACAGTTTCTGTTGCTGTCACAGCTCTGTGAGTAGCTCATGGTTTGGGGTGGTCAGTCACACTTACCACACCGGAGTTGATGAACACGAACACTCTGCCCTCCTCCCTGACCGTGCTGTGCATGGGCGCTCCCACCAGCAGGTCTGAGAAGCCATCTGCATTGAGGTCCACGGCACAGATGGAAGCTCCAAAATAGGAGCCCAGCTGTTCCAAAGCAAACCACATCTGGTTATTAAGAAGCACGGCTGTTCACAAAAGCCCTCTGTTATACCAAAGGGAGAGACACATTACCTTTTTACCTTTCATTTCATATAAGATATTTAGTTCTTTGGCATCAATGCTGAATACATAGGCCTGTAATTGGGGAAAAATTAGAAGAGTTTATATGGGCATCAAATTCTCTTATTAACAATATACTTATTTCTGTTTGATCTAAATGTTAACTTTCACCTCCAGTAATTGCTCAAATATAAAAAAATACAGAAATTTATTTAAAATGGTAAATATTACAAAAATTTTTTTAGAGTGATACAAAAAGGTATAAGGATGCATTTTCACATTAATATGCCTCATTTAGAGAACTATCCTCTCAGGAGTTATCTTACTGACCTCATAGATGGCATAGAAAGTGTTGTTTAGTATACTTTTCAAAAATTAAGGCACACAGAGATTGAGTGGCCAATGTGCACATAGCAATTTAGCAAAAACTAGAACCAGAAATAACATTTTCTCCTTCCCATCTTACAATAAAGCATGCAGCTACTTCAACTTCCTTTCAATAAATGTTACACAGTAAACCTATTCCCTGGACAGCTTTCATTTTATATTACAATTTACTTATAGGAAAGAAAATCCTCATTTAACTTATATCATTTTCCTTAAAGCTTTTCTGCTAAATTTCCTTTAAAACCATAAATCTTTCACATATTCCACTAGTGTGATACAAGTTTATTATTTCTAATCTTTCATTCCTTAGAATTTTTGCAGTTCTTCTAATGTTTATTACCTCATGCAATTCACTGGAACCTTTGGGGAAAAAAGATTAAATGTAATTCTTACTTTACCAATCTGTTCATGCTGAGGGGCTCCTCCAACTACTTCTGTTGTATGTGGACTCCGAAAATGACCAGCTCCTACTGAGTATCCTTCGAGAAAGGAGAAAAATGTAAGTGTCATCATTTAACACAGATAAAATATATCCCAAATCTTCTCTAAATGAGACTGAATTCAAAATGACTACATTAGCCAGAATTTTAAGCATGCTTAGCATAATGCTGAAAATTCTCATTATGTTTTAAGCAATTTTGATAGGTGTGTTATGAAGCCACGTGGCTTGTATTTCCAACTCCCATAGGTTGAAAATATTACCTTTGCAACTGGCTTGTATAGTAACAGTAATCAGTTTCTAGAATTAAAACCAAAATATCTGAGTATATAAAACATTTTAAGCTTTAAAGAAAATCTTCCTAATTTTCAACTTTTGTGCTATAAAATCTTCCTATTGTCATGATTTCATGACACAAAAGGTAAACTATTTCAATTTCATGTGCTAAAAGGCACACTATCAAATTATATATTTTTTTTGGTACCAGGGATTGAACTCAGGACCTTGCACTTGCAAGGCAGGCGGTGGAACCACTGAGCTAAATCCCCGGCCCTATCAAATTATATTTTTATAACACTTGAAGACCTGCTTCATTCATAAATAAGAAAACGTAGAATTGTGAATGAAGTTCTGCTTGAATGGGAAAAATACTGTCTTTTTATGATATTTACCTCTGTATAAGATGCACACACTTGAAATACATACAGCTTAAATAAATGTTTTTTAAGGAACTGTGGGAAAACCATTTATTTTATAGTAATAGAAATTGATGCCAAAAATTTTTGTATTTCTGCAGACATGTCAAATATGAAATAATGATAATGAGGAGGAAGAGAAAGATGGTGATAAAAATAGTTAAGCTCTGGGAAATAGCCCAAGAATTTAAAAGGCAAAGGCAAATGAGCATTTTTTAGACTATGCTTCATAATATAACCCTTTACCTAGAATGCTGTCAACAGTCCCATCAACTTTCATTTGGTCTTTTAAGAAACCATACATAGTTAAATGATACATACATACGTATGTATACACACATAGTTAAATGAATTAACTTAGGTAAAGTTCTTAGAAAAAGTTTCTGGGATGTAGTGAGCACACAGTTGAGGCTAGAAATAACTAGTAATAAGTTGATTACATGAAGATATGTACAAGTCTGTGTTCTCTCAAGTGAACTACCAAGAGGAAGCTACCCTAGGAGTTCTAGTTAATTATATAATGATGATTATAGTCACATATAGCAATGTAAAATAATACATTCACTAAAATTCCATAGTTTATACTTAAATGAGACAATTTCTACCTACTGGCCATGTAGATCTTCTGAAGATACAATATCCTTTCTTTATAATAACTACTTAACTAAGGCATAGAGAATTTGAATTTGCCAATTCTTACCATACCTAAATAACTTCCAAATTTTACTTGATTGTGTTTGTCTACAAAGGCTTTGTATTTATTTGTAGTTATATTGTAGACAAAAAGAGAGCCAGTCCAATAAGACGATCCTGGAGCTCCCATCACAATTAAATCCTGTAAATAAAAAGAAAAAATATTTAACAGTTAAGTCTCACCACTGAAAAACAAATAGTGAATAGGGAGGACAAAACAGTTTGTAAGACATTTCTGAAATATGAACATTTTTCTTAATTTATAAACATATGATAAGAAAGGGAGCTGGAAAGTTGGCAATGGGTCCCCATCTAAAAAGAGAATTTCAGAGGGAAAAATCCTAAAATTCTCTTTTCAAATTTATCTAGTGGATTTTAAAAGTCATAGGTAGACTCAGTGAACAGTAGAGTGAGCCTGTGGGAACAGGGTAATATGGTTACTACAAAAGAAAATCAAATATGAATGAGTGATTAGTGCTCTTTAGGAAGATAATCAAGTGTTGCTAGAGTGGACTGATTTCGATTTATGAAGACCGTGACTAGGTTTCCTAAAAATGTTAAGACAAGACTAAAAACGTTTTTTTAAAAATCCAGTGGTAGTTGGGGCCTATTATAAATAGGAATTTAGGGAAAAGAAAAAGAAGGTTGCCATGAGGAGGGCTTAGTCTGGTACAGCATGAAAACTTGTAGCAATCAAGTCTATTTATCGTATTTCTGTACTTCCTAAATCTTGATCACTTAAAAGTAAATTTAAATATAAACTAAAGAAAGCATTACTGCAAGCATTTTTAAAATACATTTTACAGAAATTATTTGCCTAAAATTTGATAAAGTCTGATCTCCGTAGAGTTAGAAAATATTCATCAACTAATGATGGAATTTTAAGAGAAACCACAGGATTTGGGGGCTAAATATAATTGTGACCTTTCATAGTATACCATTAGAGTTCTAGAGAAAAAAAAATCAGAGTTTGGGGATATATGATTTAAGAGGATATTAATGTATTCTTAAACATCCCAATTGTAATTTAATGAAAAATGTGCATTTATGTATTTTCTTCCCTCCTTAACTGATAATAAAAATAACATGCTTGAATAGGTATTTTAAATTACCCAACAAAAACTAAATAGCTACTTTTGATTTCCATTAAATTATTGATATAAGCTACAATCTTTAGCATAAATTTCTGCTGATTTTGAATGGTATGGCCAAAAAGTATTAATTTTCTCAAGCTATATGAAGAATATTGAGCAGTAAAAATAGAGTGATATACTGGAAAATTTAAAAGATATTGAGATCGTACACAATTTTTACTTCAAAGTGTGGCACTGATTTTCTAAGTCTTCAGAAGAGTTAAGGATAATTATGTAAACATTCATAACAGTTATATTTTGGTCCATTACCTCTGTGAAGAAACTAGATATTCCAGCTTGACATGATGCAAAGTTTTCTCCAAATTTTCTCACATAATCTAAAATGAAATATAAAAACGATTCTGGATTACCTTTCTAGGTATAGACAATGCTCCACAATTTTGCTGTTTTTAGAATTCCTTAAAAATATTCCTTTTAAGGTCTATGTTTTGTACTAATCCATTTTAAAAAATAGTAATTTATAAAATCTAAGATTACACAACTCTTATTAATCTTCAAAATATCACCACGAAATGGCAATAAGAACAAATCTCCCTGTGCCTCCTATCAATGAGAATATGCAGCTCACACTCAAAATATCTGTCAAATGAGTGAGGTAGAGGGAGTACTGCAGAGGAACCCACCTTTTATTTTTTATTGTATAAATTTAAGGTGTAAAATATTATGTTCTGTTGTACAAATACATGGTGAAATTACTCAAGCAGATTAACAGATCCATCTCCCCACAGTGACCTTTCTTTGTGTCTGGTAAAAGCAAACCAAATCTATTCTATGGCAAATTTCCAAGACACACTGTAATATTTAAACTGATCCTTGCCAGGCATGAGATTTCTGGATTTCCTCATCCTATGTAACTGCAACTTCACACCCTACAACCAGCATCTCATTCCCATCTCGCCTCCTCACCAAACAGCCACCTTTCTACTGTTCCTATGTATTTGACAATTTTTGATTCCACGTGTAAGACTGTGTTGTCTTTCCTGCTTGACTTATATCACTGAACGTAATGCCCTCCAGGTTCATCCCTGTTGTCACAAATACTTTTTTCTTTAAGGCTGAAAACTCCTGTGTGTGTGTGTGTACACATGTGAATGCACACACACATCCCATAATCCTTTTCCATTCACCTGTCAATGATGTGGCAGTGAACATAAGAGTGCAGATATCTCTATGTGGTACCGATTTTATTTCATTTGATAGTTCTATTTCTTTAAACTTTTGTAATAGTTGTTCCAGTTTACATTCCCATGAACAGTGTGAAAGTGGCCAAATTTAAAATTTCTCTACATTCTTTCCAGAGCTTGTTATGGTTATCTTTTTGATAAACAACAACTTTAACAGGTGTGAGGTGATGCCTTGCAATAGGATTTGCATTCCCTGATGATCAGTGAAGCTTTCTTTCAAAAGCAAGCTATTGAGGTTTTTTTCGTCTATTTTTAAAACAAGGTTTGTTTGTTTTTAGCATCAACTTGAGTTCTTTGTGTATTTTGGATATTAACCCCTTATCAGTTACATATTTTTCCCCTTTCTGTAGGTTATCTCCTCACTCTATTGACTGTTTCCTTTGCTGTGTAGAAGCTTTTTTACTTTGATGTAGTTCCATTTGTTCACCTTTGCTTTTGTCGACTAAGCTTTTGGTGTGATAAACAAAATCATTTTCCATACCATTATCAAGAAATTTTTCTTCTATAGTTGCTTCTGAAGTTTTATGGCTTCAGGTCTTACTTTTTTAATTCGAGTTTGAGTAGGTATTTGTGTATAGTGTAACAAAAGTTTTTTAAAAGTTCAACTTAATTTGCATGTGGTATCCAATTTTTTCAACATCAAAGAAATTATACATTCCAAGGTTTTCCCCAGCTGAAAATAATCAAGATCCAAGACTTGGGGTCTCTTATTACAAAGCCCTCATGAATGAAGGCAGTTTTGCTGCTTTTGAAGAACTGACATATCAAGAGAACACATGATCACAATTTTTGGGCATTTCTGATTACATAAAAATTTACTTAAATTTTCTGATTATGTATATTAACTTTCCCTATCATTTTTCACTCATATCTTACCTGATCCTATATTTTACAATTTTGGATTTATTGTAAAAGGGCTAGGTATATCTAAGCAAAAAGAAATTCTTTTGTAAAAATGTTTAAAATTGTAAACCAAGAACTATTCAACAAAAAAAGATAAACATACAGAAACTTAGACTGTTTTACCTCAATTGAGAATTTAACATTCACTTTTCATCTTCTTGCATTTAAAGATAAAATAGGAATATTTATGATGCAAGCTTTTTGTGACATCAAATTCGAGGGAGGGAAGATGCCAATATTATTAGAGTCAATAATGGGCCAAATTTTTTCCAGTTAATAAAAATTTTCTTTGGTTACTAGGGTTTTATTTCTGGTTTTTGGTTATAAAAATTAGAAATTAGCATTCATATTTTTCTTAGTCTCCTAAGGACACATTTTGAGAGTTTCAAGCTTTGTTGCAGATATTATTTTAAATGCTCTGTAGACATTCACAACTTTGATCACTTCTGCATTTAAGACCTAGATCTGTATATGATGTATGTACAACATAGAATTTCCAAGAGAAAGGTGTTTCACACTTTAGACACTAATCTCTTGCTATTTCAAAGAATATATATGAATTGGAATAAAAGTGGAAAGATTTGCTTACACTTATACTTGAAATATTTTGATAACTCCTGGAAGCTGAAGTTAAACCAAGAAACCTAATCTTTCTCTTTCCAATCAAACTTTTTAATGTAATTATATGATTTTAAATGTCCTATATTTATTGGGGCATTAGACTCATACTGACAATAGCAAATTTACTGCAAAAGTGAGTAATTATCAACTAGCTTCTATAATTATTCAAATAAGCTGTAGAATTTCTACACCAAAAACACAAACTACTTATGAAAACTAATACTACTTGCAATTGGATACAGAAAGTAAAGGAATACTTTGAGTAGTTAAAAAAAATACTTCAAAGTTCTTCCTCTTCCTAATCATCCAAAACTGAAAATTTAAAACACCCAGAAAGGCATTCGCTTCCTTCTCTTGATGTAGTTGATATCAAAATCAAACCTCACCTTGGTAACACGGAGCCATTCTTTTACTGAGTTCCGTTCGTAAATCAGAAGGCATCCCATAGCAAACACCAGTAGGGAGCTTATTTTCATGCCTCACGTAAAATATATTTTTCCATCTATGTCCACAAGTCTGAAAAATAAAAAGTAGACCAAATGATGTGAAAGTTGCACATAGAATATCTGATTTCAAAATCGTCCAGTGGGCCAATTCCAATACCTACCACAATGGATCCATTTTCTCCTGGCTGTCTGGAAAGTGTGACCCCCAACCACTGATTGTCTCTTTCCTCCAAACATGTCTTTCCACAAGGTTCTCCAGTAGGGCTACCTACAGCATTTGAAAGTAAGTTTATTATCAGTTTCCTTGAAGACAATATTATTTTACAAGAGTAAGGAAAATAAACCTGGGCACTCATCTCCGATGTTCTTCCTTCAAGTACTTCTCGCTCATCTTATATTCAGTGTGCAATCAGGGGTCACATGCAGAAATTATACATGCAGAAAGTGACATGTATAATTAGCATACTATACATGCAGAAAGTGGCATGTATAATTAGCATTCTAATAATACACAGCTTTTAAACCAAACTATCTTATGCTTTACATTTGGGGGAGTGTGGCTCATGTTTTCAACAAAGACTAAAAGATCTGGGTAACCACATTGTTTTAGTAGTAAATAAAATACTTCAATGTGCACTTAGGTAAGTGTATGAATAGCTAGAAAGTCAAACATACATAAAATATTCATGTGCAGCACAGTACTTTAAAACTGTAAAGCAAAGAGTGATCTTCATGGTGATATTTTTCATCTGCTGACGTGACTTCTTTGCTTCATGTCTGAGAACATATTAAAATCCTGTATTAAAGTGATTTCAAATAAATGATTTGGGGGAAGAACAAGATGCAGTATTATAAGAGTCTCTTCGCAAAACTCTCTATATCACTAGGCACTTTGTTGCCTGTAGCTTTGACCCGGAGATGTAGCATCCTGAAAAAATATCCAGAGTAACTACACAGATAAGACTAATATTTTGGAAGTGAAATCATTTGCACCAAATCTCCTGGGCAGGAGAGTTTTAAGAAGCAGAAGATATCTGTGTACGTATACACTTGTGTGCCCTCCAAAACATCAGACAGGAAAAACAGCTCTGAGCACAACTGAAGTGAAGAAAAGTTTCTGAGCCACTCCTTTGGAGAGTCTGAGCCAGCTGGTCCGGGTGAGGCCAAACCGACTGCCCAGGTGGCCCTTATGGGCAGGAACACTGTTACAGCAGAGTGTGGATGCAGCTTTTCCAATCAGGCCTCCGGGAGAATCATCAGCTCCCACTGATTAGCAATGGCTTCCAGAGGGGACAGAGTGAGCGGAGGAAGATTATTAGGCCCGGAGAAAGAATCCTGGGGTTTCTAGCAGTGTCTGCTCCTGAAACAGGAAGAGAGGCTTTCTGCGGCCCAAACCTTGACAAAGATCGCTGAGGTGGTCACAGATGGTCTGTGTGAAAATTAAGGAAAGGAAAGGAGAGGAGTGGGAAGAGGGGACAGAATGGCAGACTCAGTCTACATGAAGTTGAATTTCTGTTATTGACCAGAATAAACTTTAACATCCATGAAACACCTTCTCTGAAAATATCACTGCTTTCTAAAATTATAGTCAACACTCAGCTAATTACTCTGGCTCAGGTGCCTCAGCTAAGGAGTCAGAGGTAACAACCTCTGATCTCTTAAAATACGGCACATTTAATGGACACTCAGTAAGATCACATCCAGCATTTAGAAACAAATCTATTCTTCTAGAGATTACCAACCAAAAGTTGAAAAACAACCAACGGATTAGTTTGAAGCCATAAAATACTTTGTAAATTGCTTAAAGAAAATTGTCAAAAAGTTCTTACATTTAAGAGTAATGTTATTATTTCTTTGCTGAACTGTTTCTTAAATTTGGAAATGAAGATGAGATGCTCTTGCGTCGCTATTCCTATTCAAGCTGGCCTCCCCCCAAGACAGCTGTGGCTCCACCAGTTGACATTAGGATGTAACCACTGCTCTGTCTCACACTTCCTTTTCCAGTCCAGTAACATCACTTCCCTCCAACCTCTTTCTCTGCAAGTTGAGTCTCTCCCAGACCCCAGGGGGAACAGCTACCATCATCCAGTGACTTCAGGATGGGTCCGTGATCTTAACAAACATCTGGGGACTTTTGTCCAGCGTTCTCAAGCCTTTCTCTTCCCTTTCTCCTAAGTTAAGAACAGGGATTCTCAGGAACAGAGAACAAACAGCCTTCCAGAAGCCACAAGAAAGAGATGTTTACTTAAGAACAAATGGAGTAAAAGCTTCTCCAGGATTCTAGTGTGAGGCTGACTCACCTGTGAGCAGAAGAGATTTCAATAGGAAAACATGGGTGGGTTTGTATGTGGGAAATGGGATGGGGTGAAGGGCTACTGTGCATGATATCACGTGTTTGTGACTATGTGATTCCAAACAATAGATGCCTTCTAATTTACAAACAACATTTTTGACTCGTGGTTATTTTAAAATATGAACTATACCCTGTTAATCTAATCTCAGCTAACAGCATGGGCCATCAAGGGTCCTTAGACACATAAGAGGTGGCCATTCAGAGGAAACTGGTGGAATTAATATCCTGCAGGAAGAAGTATTTTCATTTTTGCTGTAGTGAGCTGCATTTATTTGTTTAAAAGTATGCTGGCCTACTTCCAAGGTTAGTAGACAGTGCCCTTGTTCATCTTGGCCCAGGCTATTTCTTGTTCCTCATCCCACTCCCAACACACAGCCCCGAAGTATGTGCAAAGGGAGAAGGGTCTGGAGACTCCACAGCACCCACAGCTCTGACTGGGATTTGACTAAACTTCTATTTGGGGCAGACATCTTAGTTTGCAATGAGTGTGCAAAAGGATGAATGTTGAAAAAGACAATCATGTTGTGACACAATTATTCTTTCCCAAACACACACAAAAAAATAGGTAATACAAACCAGTGACCAACCACATGCACTCACATTAGTTACGTTTCTCTTTTTCACTGAAGCCCTCCGCCCCATTGATGCCAATGAAATTCCAGCACTGGATACAGGACAGATCGCTTCCAGGAAGACCCTGTAAGTCCTCAGGACTGCTCTGAGTCTTTTCTTCATTTCTGAGAACATTCCCCCTTTTCTTGGCAGTGCCCGCAGAATCTCGTGGAGGAGGTCAGCTGCCTCGTGAACTTATATGAGGCCTCCTCTCAGAGTCTCCTCCCCTTCTCCGCAGGGCACTCATCCTCCACTGGCCCTTAGGATCACCTGGGGGGAGTTTTAAACAAAGACCAACACCTGGGCCCCACTCACAGTGGCTCGGGTGAGCAGGGGCAGGGTGGACACCCAGACATCAGAGTTTGTAAGAGCTCCCCAGGTAGCTGTGGTTGGGCTGGGGCTGGGCTTCTAAGCAACTGCTGGTGGCTATGCTTTTCCTGTATCATAAATTATTAAATATATTAAATATTATTATTAAAATATCTGTAATATCTTTAGGTCCCCCTCAGATTCAACTAGATACTGAAAGAGAACATCAAATGTTAAGCAGAGTTTTCTTCTTGTAGAGGTACAATATTTCTAATTTGGTCAGAGATGATAATTATTAGAAGTGCCATGAGAAAGGCTAATTCTCATGCATTTCCCCAATAAAACACCACAAATAAACTCAGATTAACTTTATATTTTACTCAGATGTCATGCTGCAAGGATTTATAATCTCATTTCAATTGGGTGCTTATATAACTAATCTGAACTCTCAGTAAAGTAAGTCAGCTCCGTCATTGAAAAAATACTTTACATGGTTTAACATTACAGGTCAGAAGAATTAACACATGGTGGTTTTCCATGTTTTTATAAACTCGAATTACTAATTCCCTAGCAGAGAAATACATCTCCCCAATAGACTCTAAACAAAGCAAAGCCATGTAAAAACCACCCCCTTTTTCTAAAATTAAGCTCCTCATTTTTCCTTTGGGGAAAAAAATAAGCCTATGCTTACTACTTCAATTATCATTTTCAACTACTGATTTGTATTGGTAGAAATGTATATGTAAATGTAAGTAAATGTAAATGTAAGTAAATGGTAATTTTGCTAAATGCATTTAAAGAATATTACTATGAACCCACTTAGGGTCACTCTTTACTCCTTTCTTCACTTTTTGATTTTTTTTTTTTAATTCACACCAGTGGTTTTAATTTCATTGCTCCAAATGTCAAAAATGTCCCAAGGACTGTGGAAGAGGAGGTATCCGGTCTGTGTGTCACTGATCTGCTGATAGGAGCACTCCCACAGCTAGGCAGGGTGGGACACACAAGCGGCAGGAACTCAATGTGCCCTGGCTAAGCTTAGGAGAGAATGCTTTAAGGTGTTACACCGCCACACAAGTGCGTGGCCAGAGTGCGCTGCACTAACCTGCTCACCAGGCTCTCTGGGGTGAGAAGACTGCTCTGGACAGAGCTAGTCCCTTTCCTGCTATTCTTCCTACTTCTCTTCCACAACAGCATTGCCTTATGTTTTAGGATAGTTAACAGGTGGTCTGCAAGATACAGTATTTGTGTGTTTGAGAATCTTGACAAAGGGTGGGTTATGAGCAGGATGATTTAAGACCAAGAATCAGCTGGGGCCCCTGGCACTGCCTGTCCCAGAGGGCTTCCCTGAGGACAGAGGGAGTCAGCAAGATCTGTGTGAAGAGTGTGGACACAGGACATGTCCAAGCAGCCTTTGAAGTCGCTATCACTACCGTGACTGCTTTAAGGATTGGGCTAAAGTTACTAAGCTGCACATAAGTCATGCATGCATCCTCCTCCATTAAATACCTGCAGCCCATTGCTGCTGGGAAAGACTTACCTAATTCACTTATTAACTCACTTTTAGCCCACGGGAATAGCCAGAGGTCTGTATTATCAATCCCTTTTTACAGGTGAGAAAATTGAGTCTTAAGTCAAATAACTTTGCTGGAGTTTATGGGGCTGGTAAGTGGAAAAAAATGACATCTTCGATCTTTAAGGAACTTCCCACTATTCCTACAAAAGAGCTCTACAAATATTTCAGACATCCAAATTAATTGAATTCAGTTTCATTTCCTAAATCTACCCATAGTCCATAAATCAAATTTCTGTTGTTCAAGAAAAATGTCATTTACATGGTCCCCTCCCTTACCCTGTCCTTTTCCTCTACTTTGATCAGTTTTCAGCATTTCCACTGAAGAAGTAAGGGAAAGGTTAGTCTCAAAGTTCTTCTTTCTATAACCTGTTGACAGCTCAAGTAAGACCCTGAGTGGGGAGCCTGGGATGTCTGATAA